CGAAACAAAACCAATAAAACCCATTACAAATTAGGCATTTGTTGCATCCAGTGGGGACATAATTACTGATTATAATGTCTTATACTGTCTTTTTACGCGTTGCGTTGCATCGCACCGCACCGCGCAAACATAAAACCATGTCTGCATTTGTGATCTGAGAAATGACAAACAACAAGTGCTACTCCACACTGCTCAAAACTCGCGTTTGAATCATCAGTGGCAAATGATAAAAGAAAACGTACTTACGTGAGTCAGAACTGCCGGCATTTTCTCCCAGGATCAGTAAACAGTCCTCCATAAATGTGCCGGCGATCCACAGCCCGAAGTTGAAGTATTTCCTCAGCGACCAGCACAGTTCAGCTCTAGGCATGACGAAGCAGATATCGTCCTCTTTTGTCTTTATGCACCAAGAGCTTGTAACACTCCAAAGAGAAAGGAAAAAATGAAATCGCATCATATGACCCCTTTAAGCTTAAATGTGTGTGTGTGTGTGTGTGTTATGTATGTATGTATGCATGTATGTATGTGTGTGTATTAGGGATGCACCGATACCGGGCCCGATACTGAGCTCCTGTACTCGTACTCGTTAAAATGCCCCGATACCAAACGCCGATACCACACAGCATGTGATAAGCGCCATATTCAGACAAAAAACATCGACGACAGACAGCAGAATGGAGTTATTAGAGATTAAAGATGTCTACGAAGTATATGTATGCAATGAATATAAAACATTCAGTACTAATGCCTGTATAGCTTATGTGTGCCAGCTGGTAAGCAAATCACGCTGAGTGGATTGAGCGCGCAACGGCGCAGATGCTTGTCGAGTGAATATCCCTTTCTCACAGACATCACTGGAAAGTTTGTAGTTCGGTCAGATATGTCAAAAAGAAGTAAAACAATACACAAGTTACTTAATGGTTGGTAGGGAGGTAGGGAGGGAGGGAGAGAGCGAGAGCGCGCACTTCTGTTGTGTTGTACTTGTCCCTCTCATTCTGCACCAGTACAAATACGTGCACGCGTTGCGCGTTTTGCTTGCTTCATGAATGTTTCTGCATTATATAAGTGGCTTTGGAAAATAAATCGCTGCACGTTTTAGATGGAAAAAAACGCGACTTCTATTTATGAAAATATCACAGTTAGGAGATTTATAGGTTCCCTGCATTTTTACAGCAAATCGCGTGATTACAGTATGCTTACAGTATCTGTAATCGCGACTGTAATCGCGTGATTACAGTACATTACGCTGCAATGGAGCAGCTCTAATGCTATTAAATTAAAGATGATGTAGGGTACCATAGAGAGAGACGTAAGGGGGTCTGAATACTTTCCGTACCCACTGTATATACATACATCATACATACATACATATATACATACATACATACATATACATATATATATATTGTTAGAAATGATTTCTATTTTGAATAAATGATGTTATTTTTAACTTATTCATCAAAGAATCCAAAAAAGGGTATCACAGGTTCCAAAAAAAAATTAAGCAGCAAAAACTGCTTCCAACATTGATAATAAATCAGCACATTAGAATGATTTCTGAAGGATCATGTGACACTGAAGACTGGAGTAATGATGCTGAAAATTCAGTTTTGATCACAGCAATAAATCATATTTTAAAGTATATTAAAACAGAACACAGTAATTTAATAAATAACGTTATTTAGTAATATTTCACAATATTACTGTTTTTTTCTGTATTTTTGATCAAATAAATGCAGCCTTGATGAGCATAAGAGAATTCTTTATAAAGTAATAAAAATCTTACTGATCCCAAACTTTTGAACGGCAGTGTATATCAATCTATCACTATTTTCAAGTACCTCTGAGTGCCAAGTACTGTAAATACCATGGTACATTACTACTGTAATCATGGTTTATATAAATATGCATGGCACTTCCGTAGTTTATTAATGAGGCTCAGTATGAAAGATTCAAACATTAGACTGGAACATAAAGCTCAGTGAAGACCAGACAGATCTTCAGAAAATGAGTCCATCATGGATGTCAGCTTTAACTCGATCAAATGCCTTCATTGTGCGGGTCAGTTCAGAGATCTATTCCCCAACAAGTCTCTTTCTAGAGAATATTTCTGGAATAAACATTTTAACAGAACAAACATCTTCAACACTGACACACAGTTTGAGATTAACCACAACATGGTGTATTTTAAACAAGACTATTGATTTGAACTGTTTTCAGTCTGTAATGTAGGGCAGTTTCATTCACACACACACACACACTGAATGAAACAGCCATACTGCATATCTTCAGTCACATCTTGTAAAGCTGTCTGCATTTTTGGAAACATTGTTACAGTTACTTTTGTAAACACTGCTACATTGTTACTTTGTAAATACTGTTATTTTTTAGAAAAATTATGACTTAGTTACTTTTGTAAACGGCAACATTTTTATTTTGTAAATACTGCTACGTTTGCAAACACTGCAACACTTACTGTGTAAATGTATTTTACACTTTTATAAACACTGTTACTTTGGGAATACTGTTAATTTTGTAAACATTATTACTTTGGAAATACTGCTATTGTTTGAAGCATTGTTACTGTGCCATCTGGAAACACTGCTACAATGTTACTTTGTAAATACTGTTATTTTTTAGAAAGACTGTAAGTTAATTTTGTAAACACCGTTACATTGAAACACTGTGACTTCATTTGAACTAACAAGTAAATACAATCATATTCATGTCATACGCTACAAAAATGTACTGTGGTAAACATGGTAGTTTCCTCCAAACTACCATAGTTACTACTGATATAAAAGCACAATACATTACTCAAAGACCCTGTTTGTCATTTTGATTAATTTCATTTTGATAACAGCAACTAATACCAAATTACCAGTTTTACAGTAAACTAAAGTAAAATAGCTAGTATATTTTCGTGTAAACTCTGGTTAACGTAAAGGTAAACACTGCTCAACAAACGTCTGATGAAACTAGCGGTTTTTGCGCTGTGCTCTGGACGCTTTTAATCACTTTGTGACAGCAAACGCTTAGTAAAGTGAATGTTTTCACCTCTGTGAGCCGTTATTGGTTCGTTTGTGCTCGATGATCTGTTTTACTCACATCGCTGCGACCCGCAGAGTTCAGCGCGCAGCAGCAGCAGCACGAGGCCGAGCAGAGAGCCGCTCCGCGCCGCCGTCAGTCTCCTCATGCTCTCGCTGTTCGATACGGTCAGTCACTCCAAAAACTTCCGGTTCTGGTCCAAAATCAAACACTGGATTCTTCTTGATAAGCTCCTCTAGTTCGGCCAGAAACGCAGCGCGTGCGAACTCATGACTGCCAGTATAGGTAAACTAGTAGCTGGTGAATGCGCTCTGGCAGGCTGAAGTTAAAGGAAATTATGTAACAGGAATTACAGCTGATTTGGTTCTTGATAAATAGTTTAACCTCTTCATTTATCCAGTTAAAAAGTTTGCGGGGTTGACTCGCTTGACAAACAGTTGACACAAACAAACAACCAAAACGAAAGAAATCTAAAAGAAAAAAAAAGTTCTCAAAAATGTCTCATGTAGCAGCTTTCAACACTGCTAGATTGTTACTTTGTAAATGCTGTTATTTTCAGAAAAAACATTTTCTTTGTTGCTCAGATCTCAATACAAAATCATTTCTCATTAAATGATCTCAACTGCTCCACATGTATTTTATAGCTCTAGACATTTACTGGCTGAACCAGTGACTCATTTGGGTCCTTTTTATTTCTTCAAACATGTTTTAGGACAGGGGTGCCCAAACTCGGTCCTGGAGGGCTGGTGTCCTGCAGAGTTTAGCTCCAACTTGCCTCAACACACCTGCCTTCAAGTTTCTAGTATGCCTATAAGAGCTTGATTAGCTGCTTCAGGTGTATTTAATTGGGGTTGGAGCTAAACTCTTCAGGACACCGGCCCTCCAGGACCGAGTTTGGGCACCCCTTTTTTAGGAGAAACATCTGAGCTCATGATGAGCAACGGACACCGGCCCTCCAGGACCGAGTTTGGGCACCCCTGTTTTAGGAGAAACATCTGAGCTCATGATGAGCAATGAAACTTTCCTCTGGATGGAACAAAATTACATTAATTGATCAGTAAAATCCATTAACATGGAAAACAACAATGTTGTATCTGTGTTTTCGCTGGAGTAATTTTTCATCCTTTATGTTTAGTGCTTTTGAGTAGCTGTTTTGAAAGCAAACAGTATTTGAGAATAAAAGACTCAAGACTGATTTCTTTGCTATTGCCTTCATTTGGACAAAAGAAACGTGTCTCTTTCAGTTGGTTGGTCTGTACACACATCACACAAACACTCTCGCTTCATAGGGATCTGTGATCAAAGTTCCTTCATCAATTACTCAACAGATCAAAAGCAGGCGAATTACTTATAGGTGACATTATTGCATACTTCATACTGTGCGTTTGGATTATTTTGAGTTTTCTTTTTTCACAAAAGCATTATTCTGTGATATAAAAATAAACAGCATTTCATTTGAGGGGGAAAACGGGGCTGTTTTAAAATATCTAAGCACTGAAACATGCATCACTGAGGGACGTACAGAAACAGAAGGACCGTGTGTTAACAAAAATACAACACCATACTAACAAAAGTGAAGTGACGTGTGGCCAAGTATGGTGACCCATACTCGGAATTTGTGAAGAAGAATGTAAGTGTGAATCTCCAGCTCATATTTCACCCTGAAATCATAAGAAAATGAGAAACAAGTTTCCCCATAAAGAAAATAATGCATCAGTATTTTTCACATTACTATGGAAGCTTGTTTCTGTCAAGGGATAAAGAAAAAAAAGTAATTGCAACTATTATGAGAAAAAAATTCAGAATTGAGATAAAAACTCGCCACTGTAAAAAATGATTTTTCGAAGATGTAAAGGAAACAAAGATTATTGGAGTATGTTTTTCAAGAAAATACTATTTCAGTTTTTCTACATTAGAATTTCACTTTTAATTCAGTGTGTTACTTGCCATTTCTTAGTGAGTGAACATTTTCTACACCATTTTTTAGTGCAATTATCTTACTATTTTTTTATTTATTTTGTAGCAGCAACAGGTTCTACCATACATTACAGTAAAATATTTTGCAAAGCAAAAACTCTTAATGCTTGTAAAATGTCTTACAGTTTCTTTAAGCTTAAATGTGTGTGTGTGTGTGTGTGTGTATATGTATATATATATATATATATATATATATACAGATAGATAGATAGATAGATTTGATTTTAGGGTGAAATATGAGCAGGGCATGATCTTGACAGATTTCATGAAATGCATCAAAATAATCACATTCATATCAAAGGTCTCTATAAAGTGTGATGTGATAAAATGGGAGTTATTAATCATAATTAATCATCAAAACACACTCATGCACCTTGCTTCAGATTCAAACACACACACACACACACAAGCTGTAAGACACGACAGAAAGTATAAAAACACAAATGTGATGCTGAACACAACTGGACCCACTAACCATCAGAAAGTGGTTTAGCATCACGCCACATGCTGGAAACGGCTGGCATAAGGACGTTTGCATGCTTTAACACACACAACATGACACATTTCCCACAATGCAGCACTGCTTCAGCTGGCGTGACAACACAAGGGTGAGTAAGGGGAAGTGCAGGCAGAAACAGAGCAGAATATTTCTACATGAGTTAAAAACATGGTTACAGTTCATCAGGTTCAGCCGCAGGTCTCACATCCACCGACATCTCAAAAACCCTTTCAAAGCAAAGGATTGTGGGATCTGTCCTTTGGCCCAATACTCTGTTTATAAAAATATCCACAGCTAGAGGACATCTGGTCATCTCCTAGCTTAAAAACATCATAAAATGTTATAACGTGCCGTGAGGCGGAGCTACATGGTCCACAGGTGCGTGTGACGCCATTCAGAGGAAGCTGTTGGTTGATTAAAATCATATAAAAGCACCAGAGGTTTAGCTTTTGTCTGTGGCCACCTTCCTGTCAATCACAACTCAAGAGTTTCCTGTTTGAGATGCCACTGTTGCCGTGGAGACTGTGCAGTGTCTGCAGTGGGAGTGGTCAGATGGAGTAGGTGGAGCTTTCTGATTGCTGGCGGATGTAACACTGGAAGCTCTGATCACCGATTGGATATTCCCTGTAAACACAAAAACATGATGCATCAGAACAGAGCTTCCTTCCTGTGGACACAAATAACTGACTTATAAGCAACAAATAAAGTTAATCAATGAGTCAAAGTGCTGTTTTTATTTTGGTATTTATTTTATAAATATATTTATATTTATATATATTTACACTATTATAGTATATATTAATATTTTGAAATAGATTTTATGTTTATAGTTTCAGTTTTGTAATTTTTTTTCTATTTATCTTTATTTTTATTTCACTTTTAGTAATTTTTGTTGTGCTTTTATCATTTTTACTAGTTTTTTTCTATTTATATTTCTTTAATTTATTTTAATTGAGACTTTAGTAATTTTATGTGCTTTTGTCACTTTTATTAGCTTTTTATATTTCTCTATGTCTTTATTTTTATTTCAGTTTTAGTAATTTTGTTACATGCTTTTTCCATTTTATTTGTTTTTTATATTTCTGTTTATCTTTAATTTATTTGTATTTTAGTTTTAGTTTTGTTGTGCTTTTTTTAGTTTTTTTATATTTCTATTTATCTTTCATTTATTTTTATTTCAGTTTTAGTAATTTTGTTATGCTTTTATCATTTGTATTAGTTTTTTTAATATTTCTATTTATCTGTAACGTATTTGTATTTTAGTTTTGGTAATTTTTTCATTTTTTATATTTCTATTTACCTTTATTTCAGTTTTAGTTTTAGTAATTTAACTTAAAATAAGGACAGCTCTATATTTAAAGTTTGATATATATTCTAACCAACTTTATCGACATACATACAGTACACTTGCATAAAGCAATATATACTATATATCAATTGCCTGATTTTTTATTTTGTCGACAAATGTAAAGTATATAACCGTCCAGTTCTAATCTGCTAAATGCAACTATAAGACATGAAGATATTAAGATTAAACATGAACATCATGATTTTCTGCTTTGAAACAATGTGTACTTGAAAAGCGCTATTTAAATACATTTGACTTGGCTTGGTATAACTTATCTAGTCACAGATGAGTGGTTCATCGATACTTACTGGCTGCCGTACTTGGTTTTCCTGAACTTGTCTCGTTTGTACTGCATGTGCTGCTGCTCCAGTGTCTGTACGGCTGAGATGACGAGTCTCAGGGTTTTATACGTCTCCTGCGGGTCGTCGATCACAAACGTGGAGTATTCCTCCTGCTCTGGGCCATCGTACACCGACTTACTGCCACAGGCCTCTGGATGGAGAGATGAGACGCATTACAGGACTGATGTACAAGTGTTTGCAACCTGCTGCATGCTGATTGTCATAGTAATACCACAGTATTCTTCAAAATGCATGATGACACATGCAACAAATAGAGTCAAAGTACTGTTCAATTATTTTAAACCAGTTATTTTTTTATATAGTATTATAGTATTTATTAATATTTTTAAATTAGCTTTTTGATTTTATTTAATTAATTTTAGTTAAAGATTTAGTCAGTTTGTTATGTGCTTTTGTCATTTTTATTAGTCTTGTATATTTCTATTTATCTTTATTTTTATTTCAGTTTTAGTCATTTTTCTGGACATTATATTTAAAAATAATATAATAATATAATATCTATTTTTTCCCCCACTTCGCTCTCACTCACCCTGCATCTTCACTAGTTTGGACATGTACGTGCTGTAGAGCGAGTAGATCCTCTCCGTCTCTCTGTCTCCATCCACGTCCAGCTGGATGTTGGCAGGAAGTCCCCTGAACGACACAAACACAGACACAAACCGTCTGAACCCTTGATCATGTCACATCATATGCATAAGGGGCAGTTCACACAGAACCGGTTTTAAACCGCAGGTGGATAGGGTAAAATGTTTAACTAATAGATGTCACCATACTTCATCAGTTGATAAATCACAGAACATTAAGATAATTTTAGTTATGTATTACAAGTTTTCTGAAATGTTATGTTTAAATATGCAAATAGCACATAAATTTGAACATTGGATAAAGCCACTTTCAAAATTCTTGTTTGATTTGGTTGACATATTAAAGGTTTTTCCAGAGGGAATTTAGGATTTCTCTTTTTATCACTCCATAAATCAGAAAATACTTTCAACAGACAGAAAACAAATACATTTTCACCATTTTTTTAGGAATAAAATGTTGTATAAATAATAAAACTGTAAATAAAATAAAACGGAATAAAACTGTAAAGTTTGGTGTATGTAAGAGAGAAAACTCTTTAAAGATATGGATTGCAATTGAAATCTACAGACGCAAGTAGATAAAGTGCAATAAAAGAAACACTTAAATGTGTATTTTGGATGTTTTCTTTACACTAGTCTGAAAGAAGACATGTTATGGAAGCAAAACAGACTATAATCACAAAACTGAGCAGAGAATAAAAAACACTGGTTTTGTCTGTAGTGTCTTGATTTAAAAATGCAAGAAGTTAAAGGGTTAGTTCACCCAAAAATGAAAAATGGGCTTGTGTTTTACTCACCCTCGAAGCATCCTAGGTGTACATGACTTTCTTCTTTCAGATGAATCCAGTCGGAGTTATATTAAAAATTGTCCTGGCTATTCCAAGCTCTATCATTGCAGTCAGCGGGTGTTGCAGTTGAACAGTCCACAAGTCGTCAAATAAAGCGCGCGCATTCATAATAAAACGTGCTTCACACGGCTCCGGGGGGTGAATAAAGGCCTCCTGTAGCGAATCCATGTGTTTTTGTAAGAAAAATATCCATATTTCAAACGTAATAAACACTTTTCTCTCACTTTCAGTATCTGTCATACGCGGAAGCCGTGCCGGCGGATGACGTCGCACGTCGGCGTTGCGTGATCAGTGACGAACGCGGAGAGAGAACAAAACAAAATGCCGGTCATGAATTGGAAGTACAAACCAAAGATTTGCAAAGAAAAATGTCGGAGGATTTCGGTATAAGCCAAGAGGAGATTGGTTTTCCTTTGCTAAAGTAAGGAAACTTTGCTTCCTTTGCTCCTATAAACAAACTCGCGAGATTAGTATATCTCAGAGGCGCGCGCTGTGCATACGTCATATGCCTTCCGCCGGAACGCCTTCCACGTATGACATATAACGGAAGTGAGAGAAAAGTGTTTATTACGTTTGAAATATGGATATTTTTCTTACAAAAACACATGGATTCGCTACAGGAGGCCTTTATTCACCCCCCAGAGCCGTGTAAAGCACGTTTTATTATGAATGCGTGCGCTTTATTTGACGACTTGTGGACTGTTCAACTGCAACACCCACTGCCTGCAATGATAGAGCTTGGAATAGCCAGGACAATTTTTACTGTAACTCCGATTGGATTCGTCTGAAAGAAGAAAGTCATGTACACGTAGGATGCTTCGAGGGTGAGTAAAACACAAGCCAATTTTCATTTTTGGGTGAACTAACACTTTAAATGAAATGTAGTTAAATTAAAAAATAACACTAGGTCTAGAGACACATTTTTTTTAGAGTTCATACTTCTTTTAACTTTCAAGAAAACATCGTCATGTGCAAAGACACAAGGCATCAGTGCAACATTCAAACACATCCGTCTAGCACATTTACACTCCAGTGTAATGCAAAAACTGATTCTGTGTGAACGGCCTCTAAGGAGTCAAACAATAAGTCTTTTTCCAGCATGTTTTCAGTTGTATATAATATACGTTTAGTCCACTGCAATTCATCCTAAAAACAGGAACAGTGTGGGTCGTGATGTGCGCAGACTCACCCTGTGCAGGGCGTGCAGCCGGGCGCAGTGTCCGCAGACAGCTTGCAGCAGAGCCAGTGTCCGTTGAGGTAGGCCGACGGGTGGTACGTGCTCAGACGCTTGCGGTTACACTGACTGACCTTGGTTAGGATGTCGATCCAGTCGCGGGCCTCCACGCAATTATTGGCCTGGATGTAGAGCGCCCTCTCTGGCTGGATGACCTGGAACATCTGTAGGAAAAACAACAGAACTGCTGCAGATGTTCAAGCACAGATACTGCTTATGCACTGCTGTAGCGACTGTGATAACATTATCACATTATTGATGTCTATGAAATGCATCAAATGTGAATCTGATGCAGTTTCCCTTACGTTCTTCATTTTGAAGGACTCTTCCTCTAGTCTCTCTACAGCCAGGATGTTCTCAATAGGGATGCTGCACAGAGCACCCTCTCCTGGACACAGCGAGAGACACACATCAGCACTGATAACCACACCAGCCCACATCAATGACCAATACAAAACAGACTGATCACTTAAAGGATAGATGTATAAATGACTGTACTGACAGGAAAATGTTTGATTTATAAGTGTTTGTTGGTGTTTTCTGCAGGTTTCAGTGTTCTGCTCAACAGCAGCTTCTCTGTCCTTCTCAGCCTGTGTCTCTGGTGTCCTCTGCACCTTTTAAAAAATCTTGACCTTTCACCTGTTCCTGTAATTCTATATATGACTATACTCATAAAAAAATACACACACTACTGTTCAAAAGTTTGGAATAATTATGATTTTTTTTTTATGTTTTTGAAAGAAGTCTCCTCTGCTCACCAAGGCTACATTTATTTGATTGGAAAAAAACAACAATAAAAACAGTAATATTGTGAAATATTATTTCAATTTAAAGTAAGTGTTTTCTATGTGTATATATATATTAAAATACCATTTATTCCTGTGATCAGGTCTCGCCTGCTCAGCACAAATCTGAATCAGTGAGCACGCCAACCTCCTTCTAAACCCGTATGTCTGGGGGAGTGGCTTGACATGCAAATTTCACTTGTCAGTGTTCATTGGCCTTTCTTGTACTACTCAGAGGTGACTGGGGCTCCCAAGTGAGACCCCATACATCAGGGTTACATATGTAACCGAGATGCTTTTTACACTTCTTTACACTCTTTATATGACTGCTATTCTGATATTCAGCAGTGTTGATGTTCTGCTCCTTCACAAACACATGATGGGATGTGCTTCAATACTCCACAGATGAACAGCAGATGCCTCACACACCTGTAGCGAGAGTATGGCACAAACCTTTTGCGTTACCTTTGGTTTTATGGTAGGTGAACTCGTGGTTGGTCAAGCGGAACCATCTCTTCTTGAAGTTCTTCAGACCGAAGCGGTTTCGCCCTTGAGCTCGTTTGATCATGAATCTGGAAGGTCAGAGGAGAACAAGACTTTAGTGAAGGTCTAAACTCAGACGCCCTCCAGCCTCAATCACACACTAACTACAATCTGATTGAAATTAATAATGAACTCATTCTGACGTCAACAAAACCAACCACAGTATTCATTAATCACATTACTGATTATTTTCACAATAAACATCCTATTTCTCTCTAAACTGGATTATTCTGGCATCCTGTTGAACAACTGCTGACGTTTATTTCCAGTGTTGTCTTCTCAATGTATAAAGGACATTTGTACATTTTCAAATACTGTTGAATGAATTTCAGTAAACACTGTGTACATATAATTTCTGCATTCCAGGTAATTACAGTTAATTAAAACTAACACCATAAAAACCTTTTCATTACTTTAAATAAAGTAAACTTTATGAAATAAAATAAAATAAAATTAACTTTTTTTAATCTATTTATTATTTTTTAAATAACTAAATTTGATCTCAGCTAGTTGGCAAGGCAAAATTTTTTGTTTAATTTAAATTGTAGTAGTAAAATAACTAAAACTAAAAAAACTGAGGAGGCTATGACGGGGGTCAGGAGGTCATGTATTAAGGGTCATAGGTCACAACGGCATCTTACCTGCCAGAACCTTTGGCATCAAATCTTTTAATAACGAGTTTAACACTCCTGCGTCCAGCAGAGAAACACAAAGACACACACACTGACATGCTGATTTGTCCTCATGTCTCACACTGATACAGTGACACATGACGGCCGTGTGAGTGTCTCTCACCCTTCCTTCAGCATGATGGGCGTCTCAATGCTCTTCTGATCCCAGCGGGCCGAGGACGAGATCAGATCCAGGAACTGCGACACAGACACACACGGCTCACATCAGAACACATACTGAAGCAGAGATCTCTGATATATGTGATAGACACGAGACACTCACGTTCTTTACTGCATCGGCGTACTTCTGCTCATTGAAGTAGTCATAGAAGGCGGCCATGTAGGACTCTTTGAAATTGGCCTGTCAAGAGAGACAGGAGCGTTCATTATCACAGAGAGGAGGATTTCTGTTCCCAGGAGTTTTTCATCAGATATCAGTCTGCATGTCTTCATCAATACATTTGAGTGAGCTATGGAGGTAAAAAAACATTGAATCTACATATTTATTTTTTTGTGCAAAAATGTCTTTGTCCTGCACTTTCTGTTCAGCCTCGTTATGCTCTGACATTACCCACTTTTAAAAATAATGTTTTGTTTTTGGTCATTTAAATCAAGAAATAAAATAAAATATAAACATTACATGAAATATTCTAAAAAATTTAAAGAAAAAATGCATAAAAATAATAAAAGCACATAACAAACTTACCAAAACTAAAACTGAAAGAAAAATGAATTGAAGCTATATAGCAGTACACATAAGAAAGTATAAAGATGTCAAAAGCGCATAATAAAATTACTAAAACTAAAAGAAAAATTAAAGCTATCCACCTTTATCCTTAGTAAGCGATAAGCGCCACCATGATGGGTTATAACTTCTGTTTGGATGCTCTCATGTTCCAGTCTCCATAGAAAACCATGTTAAAACGGGCTAAAAATATAGACTGATTTTAATTAAACTGAAACTTTGTTCAATATAACTAAATATAAAAATGTGCGCAGGGTTAAGCTGTGCTGTTGTTGGCTGCCACAGAAACAGCAATAAGCTAAAGGAATTCCTGTAATGTACTGGTGTTGCATACCAGCAAATCTGTCCGTGTCTGGCACTGTATGCCTTGCATACACGATTAGTGGTCGACCGATATTGTTTTTTTGACTGCCGATGCCGATATCTTGGAAAGCAGGGTGGCCGATGGCCGATATAATTTTATTTATTTTATTTAATATTTAAGAAATTTGAAATCAATTGAAAATGGATTAAAAAAATTAATGCGTAAAATAAACATGCTTATACTTTAAATTACAAAGTATTTTTCACAAATAAACAAATATTTAATAAAAAATATAATTAAAAAGGAAGTAAACACTATAACCACAACAGGGCACTCAGTATTCTGGGAAGTTTGTGTGCATTGGGAATCACATTTTTTCAAATAAAGCCAAGGTAATAAATGTGTAAAATAAACATGCTTATACTTTAAAACAAAGTATTTTTCACAAATAAACAAATATTTAATAAAAAATATAATTAAAAAGGAAGTAAACACTATAACCACAACAGGGCACTCAGTATTCTGGGAAGTTTGTGTGCATTGGGAATCACATTTTTTCAAATAAAGCCAAGGTAACACACATTTTACATACAGCACACAGTGAAATGACATGAATATGACATTGGGCAAAAGCATGAAGCGCAGCATAATTTGAAATCACGAGTTTAAAGTGTGTCAATCATGCGTCTCCAGTGAAGCTGAACTCTCCTCCTGTCTGCATTTAATTCACACAGACGACCGTCACACAGAGCACACGCGGTCGTGCAGGATACACATGCACACTTCACAAGATCTCAACTAGATTCGACTAAGTTTGCAAGGTTTTTTAAAGTAGACGTTCATTAGTCATCGAAAGATTTGTTTAAATTATATAAATGCGTATTTGCTGAATGCTGATGGCAAACGAGAAAGTATTATAATGTTTGCCTTTCTATTACTAATAATATTAAAGCAATCAATTATAATACTTTTTTTGTATACATTTTAATTCCTTTGTTTAACAGTTCTAACTGATTATTAGACAGACTTCTGTCCGTATTAAGACAGAACTGAACGACGACAGCAAACAAGAGGGAGAATGTGAGCGCTGTGTGTTCTGGTGCTGCCGTTCTCAGCGCCGTCAAAATAAAAGTCCCGCCACGAACACATCGGCCAAACAGAAAAACTTATGGGCCAAATATCGGCCGATATATCGGTCTTGGCGATATATCAGTCGACCACTATACACGATGACAAAAGAAAACGTTCATGGCTTGCAGCGCTTAAGTTAAAATACTGTGTGTGTAGTAATAAAATAATGTGTGCTCTTATCATTTTGTGGACAAAATCCCCTGAACTTTGCCCCGATCGGGAGCTGTATCTAGGAAATGTGCTCTCAATTTGTTTTCAATGCAGCTAGAAACCATTCGGGTTGCTTCATGTCATCTTCCTACTCATTAAACTATGACAGCTGAGTTACTGCAAAAAAGATGGTCATTGCGACACTGTCAAAGTCAAGTGATGAAACTATGGCACCACGTGCTTTTTAAAACCATCTTCATAGCTTTAACGTTATATTATCGGCTCGAACAATACATTAATTTGACTAGAAACACTAGAGACCAGAAATGTAAAGCATCGTTCCAGTATGAGTCGGGCACGCTCAGGAAAAAAGGTGGATAAAGAAATATATAAAAATGAATAAAAATAAGAAAAGCGCATAAAATGACTGAAAACTAAAACTGAATGAAAAATTCATTAAAGCTATGTAGAATATGTATAAAAACTAAAATGACAAAAGCATGTTATAAAATGACTAAAACTAAAAAAAAAAAATGAAATTATAAAAATAAAAGCTAATTCAAATATTAATAAATATTATGATAGTATATAAACAATACTAAAATATTTCAGGAAGTGACATCATCACAATTTTCTTACAGTGTGTATTAATTATAGTTACGATGTTTTAATATTATAATTTGTGAATATTACATTATATTATTTTATATTTATTATGTTACATGATATTATAAATAATATTTGTAACAGTAAATAACTATTGATAATGTTCACTTACAGATTTGGACTTGGCCAGGCTTCCCAGTGTTTGGATGGTTTTGGAAATGAGAGTCAGTGTCCGAGACGTGCACGGATCCTTTACAGTGACAGAATTGATAAAAATAAAACATTCGATCGTGATAAAGAAGAAGAGATGAACAGAGAGGAGGCTGTACACACCGGGTGATGTGGCCGCAGGTGGAAGAGGTTCGGTGACAAGATGGCAGGAGCGAAGAAACGGAGGAAGATGAAACTGCTGACAGCCGTGTAGCGCACATCCGGGTCGACTGCAAAAACACATACTCCATAATCATCATCATCATCACCACAGATCTCTGAGTGAGGCTTTACTGATGCCTCTCAACTAAAACAAACCAATCCTGTTCTCTGCAGTGTTCATCTGTGATCTGAAGGTGGCAGTATAACACTGACGGCTCAACACAGCAGCAAAAATAAACAGGAAGCTGGGTAGAGCACAAGTATGTAGGGAAACAAATGCCTGGTTACGGGACACTTATTACGGCTAACCTCATTCCACGAAAATCATTTCATCAAACTCCTGCTCGTTGAGTGAAATCTACGTCTTTATGCATGTAACTGTTTTTCAGCTGCTTGAGAGACCATTCAACTGCTTTTAAAACTGCTAATGAAATATAAAACTATAAAACTAAAAATCATTTAAAAAAATCGTTTTTGGTTAATTGAAATCAAGCTAATATATA